GCAATGGTGCGGGAGTTGAACATTCTTCGGCATTGCCCTTCTTTGGAATTGGAATGTAAACTGACCTCTTCTTAATCTCTTCTGCCTCTGTTAGGTCCCTGCCATTTTGGTCTTTTATCATGCCCATCTTTGCATGAAACGTTCCCTTCATATCTCCAATTTCTTGAAGAGATCTCTGGTCCTCCCTATTCTATTGTTTTCTTCTATTTCTTTGCACTGGTCATTTAAGAAGGCATTCTTATCTCTTCTAGCTATTCTCTGGAATTCTGCATTCAGTTGGGTGTATCTTTCCTTTTCTCCCTTGCCTTTCGCTTTCCTTCTTTCCTCAGCTATTTGTAAAGCTTCCTCAGACAGCCGTTTTGCATTCTTGCATTTCTTTTTCTTTGGGATAGTATTAGTTGCTACCTCTTGTACAATGTTGCAAACCTCCGTCCATAGTTCTTCAGGCACTCTGTCTATCAGATCTAATTCCTTAAATCTATTAGTCACCTCTACTGTATATTCCTCAGGGATATGATTTAGGTCATACCTGAGTGGCCTAGTGCTTTTCCCTACTTTCTTCAATTTAAGCCTAAATTTTGCAACAAGAAGCTCATGATCTGATCTACAGTCAGCTCCTGGTCTAGTTTTTACTGACTGTGTAGAGCTTCTCCATCTTTGGCTGCAGAGCACATAGTCAATCTGATTTCTGTGTTGACCGTCTGGTGATGTCCATGTGTAGAGTTGTCTCTTGGGTCATTGGAAAAGAGTGTTTGCTATAACCATCACATTCTCGTGGCAAAATTCTACCAGCCTGTGCCTTGCTTCATTTTGTACTCCAAGGCACACTTGCCTATTATTCCGGTTATCTTTTGGCTTCCTACTTTAGCATTCCAATCCCCCATGATGATAAGGACATCATTTTTTGGTGTTAATTCTAGAAGGTGTTGTAGGCCTTCATAGAACCTTATCTGGCCAGGGCGACTTCTTTTATATTGTTATTTATTTTATATTGTTAATTTTATATTGTTATTTTTGTATTTTATTGTATTTTATTTTGTGCTGTGAGCCGCCCCGAGGCTTCGGCAAGGGGCGGCATAGAAAAGTTTTAATAAATAAATAAAATAAAAACCATTCAACTTGCCTCTTCAGCACCAGTGGTTGGGGCATAGACTAGGACTACTGTGATGTTGAATGGTTTGCCTTGGATTCGAACTGAGATCATTCTGTCATTTTGGGGATTGTATCCCAGTACTGCTTTTCCTACTCTTTTATTGACTATGAAGGCTACTCCATTTCTTCTGAAGGATTCTTGCCCACAGTAGCATACCTGATGGTCATCTGAATTAAATTCACCCATTTCTGTCCATTTTAGTTCACTGATTCCTAAGATGTCGATGTTCAGTCTTGTCATCTCTTATTTGACCACATCCAGCTTGCCTTGATTCATGGATCTTACATTCCAGGTTCCTATGGAGTATAGATCTTTACAGCATTGGACTTTCCTTTCACCACCAAATACATCTGCAACTGAGTGTCCTTTTGGCTTTGACCCAGTTGCTCTTTCTGGTGCTACTAGTACTAGCTCTCTGCTCTTCCCAAGTAGCATATTGGACACCTTCCGACCTGAGGGGCTCATCTTCCAGCGTCATATCTTTTTGCCTTTTGGTCCTGTCCATGGGGTTTTCGTGGGAAAGATACTGGAGTGGGTTGCCATTTCCTTCTCCAGTTGATCACGTTTTGTCAGAGCTCTCTGCTATGACCTGTCCGTCTTGGGTGACTCTGCATGGCATAGCTCATAGCTTCATTGAGCTAAGCAAGCCCCTTCGCCACGGCAAGGCAGTGATCCATGAAGGAGCATGTATGTATGTTACAGGAAAGAATGAATGGAATAGAAGTGCAAGCAACAGCAGGGAGTTGGTCCCGATGACCTTCATGGCCCCTTCCAACTCTACTATTCTATGATTCTGTTATTCTTATTGGGGCTCGATAGAGAGATGCTTGAAGACATGAAAATGTTATGGCCAGCCTATCAATATATTACACACACACGCTAGGACTGATAGAAGTTGTAGGCCAAAACATTTGGAGGTCCAGAAGTTCCCCATCCCTGTTCTAAAAGGAGAGTTTTCAGTGGGACCTCAGCTGACACCTTGATTTTTAAACAATTTGCATGTATCAAAATTCTGTTTTGGTTTCTTATTATACTTGTTCAACAAAGACAAACATTTAAAGTTATCCTTTACTATACTATATAACAATGTAATATATTTAGTCTTCCTAAAGTGACAAGGGTTGAACTGACCTATAGTTTATCTAGTATAATGTTTTAGCTAGGACCCTCCTTGCATTTAATCTTCATCCTGTGTTAAAATGAAACCCAGCATTATTCACATCTGGGGAGTTTTGTTACCCCAGACAAAAGAACCTCAAGCAAGGAAAATGGTGCATATGAAAGGACTTTGTTCTTGCTGAATGTTTCCCTGGGGAAATTTCAGTCAACAAATAATGGCTTTCAGTAAGTACAGATAATTTATTAATTATTCCTACCTGAGATTATGCATTACAATCAAATCTGCAAAACATGGCTTATCCTATTGACTTTTGATCTGCATAACAATAGTTTGGTCTTCTAAACTTTAGCAGAGTATTAAAAAGCTTCCTCAGTAGATTTTAATTATGTTTCCTAGAGGCTGCAGCTCAGACTCTTGACTGTTAAAAGAGACTAAAATAATCTTTACTTACCCTTGTTTTGGTCTTTTGTTCGGGATCACCAAAGTACCCCTCCAAACAATTCTTATGGAAATTTTGGAACGTTTTGTTAACCCAGGCATGTATTGGTTTATAGAAAAAAGCCTCTATAGGGTAGGAGGCTGAAATGTGGGGACTTTATGATACACAGATCTTGACAATGTCCTAGAAAAATTAGATTATACATCTCATTTCTAAAATACATAAAATAAAGTGAGGTAGGGATGGCCAGATGTGCCAAGATTCATAACACGCTTGCAATATTTTGTTTGATTATAGATTGCTTATTGAGGACAGAGGGAATTTGAGAAATAACTGCAATATTCATTAATGAATATTAAAGAAAATGTTGTCTGCATTAAAAAGAAGAATGGAAGGAACAACCTAGAATCCAAGTCAAGGGAAATCTTTTCTTCATACCAAGTATAAGTTAATGCATTGCAGGAAGGGGGAAAGGAACTTCTTATCCTTAATTAAGGTGCCAGATTTTGAAGAAATCTGCAAATATATCCAATCTTGTTTAAAAATGATTAATTATCTTTTGTTAATATTGAAATTCTGCAGAATTAAATAGCACTCCTGGTGGTAAGATCGGCTAGTGATTCAAGCATTGGGTCAGGATGATTTAGCTTATTTATCTATTACAATTTTGTATCACTCCAAAGCTCTCCAGGACTCTCTGGGTGGTGAACAAATATATAATTATACAAAGAACAACCATAAAATTTATATAATAAAATTCATAAAATGCAACAATAATACACTCTAACAGATTATTGCAACAGTCAAAAAAAATTTCCTCAGGTACAACAGCTATAAAACAATCATTACCAATTTTTAAAAATATAAAATATTAACATGTTAAATGTCAAATTAGCAGTTCTTAAAATATATGAAGAATAAAAATGTCTTTGCCTGGCACTAGAAAAGATAGCAATGAGGGTGCCAGGCGTATTTCTCTGGGAAGCATATTCCATAGATGGGTGCAACCACCAAGAATTTTAAAATTATGATTTAAATCCCCAAATAAGGATTTTTTAAAAGTATAGCTGTAAAGTGAAATGTCATTTATTGTTTTTATCCTTTCTAAATAAAATCATTTACTAATTTGTTTCCATATTCATAGAAAGATATTAGAGTTACAGAGATCATGGAAGAGGTATAATGTTACTCAAACAGATTAGTTTAACAATTATGGTGATTAGCCTGTCCTGTACTCCCAGTATGGAGCCATAATATATGAACATTAACTATCGTGCTATGTAATTATGACATTTTCCTTCCAAAGGCAAGCATTTTGATGAAGGATCCATAAATTTCATTTTGAAATATGCTTGCATGCATTAACCATTTTATTTATTTAAAAACCATGTAGTGGAAATTTTAAAACAATTAAAATATGTATTTATCCTCTCCGCACTAGGATGATAAATCATTGTGCCTGCCGCCGTGTTGTTCACAGTACTCTGATAGTCTGCACTGGAAAGGTCATTCTGGTAACGGTCTAGATTTGTTGGGTGTACGTAGGCTTTGGGAGGATAATGTAGGTTTGTTCCATCATTTCTGTGTGTTGATTGATACCTTCTGTGCATGAGCAATACATAAGTTATATCCATTTGCACGATGCATCGGTGACTGTTGGTGGAGTTACTATAAATTTATGACATTGGCTGTTGTTTTCTCTCTTCTTTTTAGTGGTATTGTTTTGCTTTCTCCTTTGTTGTAGGAAATGCACAGGATGACAGTATTATTAAGCTGATGGTAGTACTAGTGTGACCTAAGGGCCCATGGTATAGTGAAACTGGCTTCCTGATTTGCATACACAAATACTCACCTTGGCATATTGTGTATTGAATAAGAGCAGGTTAAAACATACATGTTTCAGCAAGCATCTGTGGCAACTGAATGTAGGAAGTATCAGTGATCAAAGATTGCAAATAGAACTTCCATTGTAGTCATCTGCTTGCCCAAATGATTTTAGTGCAACAATTTTCACATCCAGATGTAAATATCAAGTCTTAACTGAAAATGTTAAGTCAAAAATAATACAGCGCTAACATTAGCACTGTTTTTCCTGAGAGCAATTGCTGACAGCACACATTGAACAATGATTTATTTTCAGTTGCTTAATAATAATAGATGTAGGTAAGAAAAAAGGCTCAAAATTTATTAGAACAATTGTTTATTGAATTGCTGCTTCCTAAAAATAAGTTTCTATAATGTTTTTAATTATCTCAGTTGCTTTAATATTTGTAATAATTTCTTTTTAGGTTGCTTTGGATAATCCATAACAGTTAAAAATAAGCTGACTTCAAGTTTGGATAGAGCTGGCAGCTTGGATCTAACAACTGTGATTTTATTTTAGGTAATAAGTCCTTTTCTATCTCTCTCAGTTTCTCTCATCATTATATGTTCCCTTTTGTTTAAAAATTGAAATGCCTGTATATTTGAAACTTGCACAAACCATTGAGGAACATGAAGAATTCTGTTCTCTCCCAAGAAACTGGAACTCTCTGAGAAGATGGGCAGGTTTAGCCCATCATTAGTAACTGTCTCTTGTATGGCTTTCCATCATATAAATGTCTGTCCACCTATATGAAGACTATATGTTACATTTCTGGAAATGTTACAGTCATAGAAAAAGAATGTGTGTGTATTTTCTGGAAGAAAAAACAAGAATTAAATATGTGGAATACTCATCAAACCTAAACATATTTTAAGACTATGAAACATGCTATGTATTTGTCATATAAAATATATCATTTGGTATATATATAAAGTTTAGGAGACATATCCAGTATCACTGTATTAGCATAAACCAATGCTAGCGCAGTGTCATTAGTGCTTGTTAGGCAGAGGGAAAAAGTGGCAGTTTGGCATCAAAGCACATTGCTGAATTTCCGCAGCAAATCAGTGTTCCCCTCTTCCACTTTGCCTAATGAATGCTAGTGATGTTGTCGGGTTCGTTTATAGCAGCCTAATGTCGTTATTACTATACTGCTTTAACATTGTAAACTGCCCAGTATTATTTTAATTTGATGCAATTAAAAATACCCAATTTAAGAGAGGGAGGTGTAAGCAGCTGCACCTTAAGGTACCCAGGGCACAATTCGTGATGGGGAGCAAATTCCCACTAGAATTTTCTTCTGAGTAAATTAGTTTAAGTTTGCCAATTGGGAAAATAGAGGGAAGGAACTGAAAATAGTAATGACCAACACTAGTAGACAGAGAGACAACTTTCGCTTCAATTTCCCTCGAAGTCTCACTGCACTCGGTAAGGCTTTCTTGAGTCAACATGTATAAGATTCCATAGTTTACTGTATTTAATGTAGCATGAAGACCTAGCAATATTATGCAAAAATGTGTAGAGATAAAATTCAAGATTTATTTTAAAAAAATAACTAGGGCTATAACTATGGTGTGGCCAGGAGGGGAAAAGAGAGATAATCGGTTATGCTTTATAATACTAATGAGAATTCCAGTGTTAATTCATTTCCATGCACAGCACATATTCCATGTTTTGTAAAGAGAAAACATTACTCATCCTTATTTATTTATTATATTTATAGACTAGTAAACCCTATATATGTGAAAGTATTATCAAAGATTTTATTTTATTATCAGTGAACTGGTTCAGTTTATTGCTACATGACTGGGCCTCATGCACTTCACAGTCATTGGGCATAATGGCAAGAAGGTTAGCAGAAACTTCATTTCTATTTTCAATAAACTATGCATCGTTTGTTGTTATTTCTGAACCCAGACAAATTAACAACTTAAATATGATTTAGGGCAGGATTAGGCAACCTGGTACCCTCCGGATGTTTTGGGGAAACTACAGCTTTAATCAGCCCATGCCCGCATGGCTAATGATTAGGGATAATGGGCAATCTACTTCAAAACATGGTTTAGGGAAAGAAGGTAGATTATAAACTAGATTTTATCCCCTGTGAAGCTGAGAAAGGCTTCTCATCTCCTTACAGCCATGCCAGAGGGGAAGGAGAGCTCACTACCCCCCAGCTTGTTTATGTAACACTAAACCACATTTTAGTGTTAGGTTCAAATCAGGCCAGTATCCAAAAGTCTTATTCTGAACTTTGTGAAATTCACAAAATGGAAGATTTGTACAAATTGAAACTGTTTAGAAGGAAGAGTTGGTAGAAATTCTGGTCTTCCTCCCTGCTCCCACCTTTACTTGAATTTAAATAAATTCAGTAACCACTTAATGTTACTTGTATAATTTGGGAATTTCATGTATGCAGATAATTATTTTTGTGTCTTTTTCTTGGCAGATGCATAATGATCACACTGATGCAAGATAAAGTTAGTGAACAACTATAAAATGCCCAGATTTGGGTCAGCAAAGGCAGTTCAGATTCAAAATTCTGACAGTGATAGCACCATGGTGGAAAAACCAACTGGAAGAAAGGTATAAAAAGAAATTTTATTAGTTTGTGGTAGTATAGAATATATACAAGCCAGGAAAGATTATACAGGGTATGAAGAGATAATATTATGCAGTACTAGGTAGAATTGTAGGAGGCAGTTGTTAAAATAACTATTCCCATGCTGTAATCAACTGCTACCTACTGTATTTTTTCCTCTATTCACTGATGGCAGTATTATGCCTTCCAACATTTCCCTGCATAATTTCTAGTAGTTTATCAAATTACTTTCTTGAAGATATAGCTGATTTCTACCAAATCGTTTTCTTTCATTATGTATTTGCAAAGCAATTCTATGGGGCAGTGGGGAGAGGATCTATGGGGCAAACCACTAGCTCAAGTGGAAGGTGGAGCGGAGGCAGATTTTCCCATATTTTTTCCTCCATTGTGTCTTGTTAAATATTCCCTGCCACTGACACCAATTGCAGGAAAAATAAATATGCCAGTTCTAAAAATAAGTATAATTATAACCATACTTATAATTATATAACTGCTATATGTTTTACCCTTGTCAAAAGAACAAGAGAGATTTTGGTAGAGGGTCCCTTTCTCCCTCCACTCCCAACAAGTTCTGTTTTTCCCTAGCAATGGAACAGTGATGTTGGTAAACACTTCCAAAGCTAAAACAAGGTGATAGACCTCTCTCTATGCCTTTCAGTGTGTCTTGGGGTGTCGGTTCAAGAACCATAGCATTGCAGCCTTAGTGAGATTTTATGTTGTGAATCTTTTCAGTAGAATTCCTTGTCTCTTATTAAGCATATTGTGAAAAGACTGTTGCCTGACAGCATCCTAGAGGTACTTAATTCTTTCAATAGGATTTTAGGAAAAGCTGCTATCCAATATTTTGTGTTGATTTAATCATTGTCTTTAAACCAGTTGGTTGACTGGCTTTACATTTAAATTTGTATATTATCGAATTATTAATCTGGACATGTGTTTTACATACCGAATAAAGTGTGCTAACTTAGAACTTAATAAACCAAGGCTCAGCTAAAGTTGATGGTGATTTAAGCTTATTTTAAGATAAAAATAATAGAAGGAAAGTATTTTTTATTCCCTATGAAGAAAATATTCAAATTGCAGCTGCTTAAAACTTTGTTTATTACCTGGTACACTGAACTGGAAGTAATAAAATAAGCTTACAATATAACTGAATTCATGACTACTCAGAAGTAAGTCCCACTGAGTTCAGTGGAACTTACTTCCAGGTAACTGGATATAGGATCACAGTCTGAGTCAAGAGGAAACTTTTGGAGACTTCATTCAGGTTTACTCTCTAAGTATAGATGGATATTGCCATGGGGAAGGTAACAGCTCTATATAAAGTGGCTAGTGGAATAATTTTTGTCCTTCTCTCAAGTAAACGCAAAAGAGCAATGCTGTGGCAGCATTGAAAGGTTCAAGTGTGGATTGCAACTGAATCCCATGGATGTCAGTGGTACTTAGAAGCAACTAGCAGCAGGGTCTAAAGCAGGGGTCTCAAACTCAACTTACCTGGGGGCCGCTGGAAGTAGAGTCTGGGTGAGGCTGGGCCGCATCAAGTATGCCACCACCGCGGTGGGGGTGGGCCGCTCATCCCATGGCCGGCCCAGGCGTGCCGGCGCTTTGAAGGCCACAGGGCCCCTCCCCCGTGCCCCGCCCGTCCCAGCAATTGGCCCACGGGCCGCAAGTTTGAGACCCCTGGTCTAAAGTCACCACTTCAGAGGACTTTTTTTAAATTTCTGGTTGCACTAGCAGATACAAAAATAGTGTTCCTTGAGAAATTGTACTCAGCAATTAATATGTGATTATCCTAAGCATGCATGATGCTTAGTAATAAGAATATCACCATAAGAAAAGTAGGAAGCAAGAAAAGTATTTGCCATGAGGAATTTATAATCTAATTATAATTGACTCTAACCAGTTACTCAGCTGAAATGTCCATTGAGTAATCTACCAATTAAACAAATCAGAGCTACTTAAGCAGAGGTTATAAGCTTTAAATCCTAGATTTAGGAAACTATCTATTCTGTCATACTAAAAAAAATTCAGCAAAGACACAATATAGGCTCTCCTTTTATCTGGTTGCTTGCTGTTCCTTCTAGCAATAAATGAGAAGAGGTGAGGTGAGGTGAGGTTTATAATGTTACATGGTATCTATCTCACAGCCTGTAAAATACATTAGATAGGTAAGGAAGGCTCACTGGTCAATGGAGCACAGCTCTTAGTGCAGGGATCTGAAGCTTATATATTCCAGTTGAGAGGCCTTTTGTGGGTAGAGAATTCCTGCCTGCAGATGCTCTACAGAACCAGTGTGGTGTGAGGGTTAGAAAGTTGCACTGGGGACCTGAAAGATGTGGGTTCTAGGCACGAAGTTCAACTGGGTGACTTCACACAAGTCACAGTCTCTCAGCCCAGCCTACTCCCAGGGTTGTAGTTGTGAGGATAAAATGGAGCTATGTAAGCAGCCTTAGGTTCCGCATAAGGAAAAAAGCAAGATATAAATGCAATGCAACAACAATGATGATACATAGATCCTGGCCTATGCTATTTCATAGATGCACTATGTGCTAAGTCCTTGCTTTTAAGCCTCTAGTTGAGTTTATTTGTTTTGTTTTATTTAAAGTTTTAATATACCATTCAATTAGCAAAAGAACTCCCAGAACGGTGTACTTCAGCTTGACTTCAGTAATATTTTAAAAGATAGCAACTTCAACAAAATATGCCCAACAGAAGTCTATCTACCTAATGTCTACAGTGAGTTTTAGTGAGATAGTCATATGTAAAACACTTAAGATACATGAATATCTATCAGAAATACTGTGCCTTCAGCTAAAGAAAAGAATAGCCTTCTAAATGTTGGCATTCAAGGTTTTTTTTTAATGAAGTTTTATGAATAAGGATTGTTCTCATTTTCCATATAACCTGGTAAAATCAAAGATGGCAAAATTATGTCAGGTAAAAGGTTGTCTTTTATGCTGTTTGGGTATTTGTGTTCTGTGAGACTTTAACAAGGTGTTCTCTGCAAACGTGACAATTTATGACATATTTTTATGGTGAAACTGCTTGTCTAATAGACATAATCATGGCTACATCTAGTGAAGCAGTGAGTGGCTTCTGCTTACCTGTATTTGTTCAGTGCCAATAGTGCAGCAAGCAGCTGTGTCTTTAAAATGTATTGAAATAACAACATGAGAGGGTCCATATTTTGGAGTACAGAGGTGTAGCTTCAATATACTTACCCTGAGAATGCAGGAAAATATTTTGCAGAAAATCATTTGTTCTTTACTTAAACTCTGGTTTTCGGATCCTATTTAGGAATTTTACAACTATGCTTACTGTATTTAATATTTTAAAGGATTCTGCTTCCACACATTAATATTATCTGCTTCAAAGCACTATTTCCATTAGATAAGTAACTAAATTTTAAAATATCATATGCAGACAGTGTTATTTCAAATCTGCTTTGATTTGTACCTACTATTTTCTCCATGTTCATTCTGGTAAATATATAAATATATCAGGGTTGGTCAGTCTCTTTAACTTGGAAAGGCTAGATCCTTCCCTGTCAAACCACTTAGAATGGGGCTTCCATCCATCCATGCTATTGCTGCATTCCAAGCTTGAAGAAGCTTTCATTCTGTTACTTCAGGGGAAACTGCTAAATTCAAAGCACTTCTGGATCTGGCAGGTGCACCATGTGAAATATAGGAGATGCCCCAAAATTTGGTACAGCAGCCTGCCTACTGGACTGAAACCCATGCATGCTGTTAAACAGAACTTCGCATGCCACTTCTCAATTATCAGCTTGCAAAAAGTGAGAAGACTTGGATGTCACAAAGAACTGTGATAAAGCAAAGGTCTTTGGGGTGTCTCATATCCAAGAAAGCTTAATGGTCAGAAGTGATTAATGTAGCCCTGTTACTCACCATACAGTGTGCCATCTTGTCAGGCTGGTTGCTTCCAGAGTCAAATAAAGGGAGTGTCAGGGAAACAGACAGAAAAGCCAGCTAGGCACAAGTGCATTTTGACAATTCCTAAAATAGTGATTGTGCTGAGAATGGTTTCCAGTTAGCCATTTGCTAGTTTGAAATAGAAGGTTTGGTTTTTTGAGAATGGAATGAAAGCTAAGTATTTGTCCAACACAGTATTGTACTTCTCAGTGTATATGTAGAAAAATGTTTTTGTCTTCATGTGCTTTTTATAATATTCTGAAGAAAGTAAACTTTGGTTGTATACTCCGTCTGTTACTCAGATGCACTCTGTGTGTGTGTGTGTGTGTAACAGAGAGCACGAGCACAAGCGAGCGACCACTTCTGTTTCTTTCAGACTAGTATGCCTGTAAGATTTATTGGTGGTGGTTGGAATGAAACCACCACTTCCTACTGCACTTCACTTCTCAGATTATTAAGATATTTGCATATGTATTCATTACTGGTATGTTTGTGCCTAGTCTTTTTCTCTAAGATGTTGATTTTATATAGGTTTTAATATATTTATTCCAGCACAGTTTTGCACAATAAGAACTATACTCTGCCCTGTGTGTGGGGAGGGGGAGGGGCAGGGGGGAGTTTATAGAAAGGTTTGAGATGCTAGCTTCTGTAAAACTCTGATACTACAGTATTTACAAGGAAGATATGTATTTTCAAAGAACATTTTCTAGGAAGCCTACTAATTCTAGATTGCTGTAATCTGAAGAACAGATTAAAGACAAAACACTGTTAATTGGTTAACCAAAGGCTTTTGCTAGCATGTGTTTATTTTCAGGGATGTGTTAAATCACTGTTAATAGTTTTATATAAACATTGTACTTATAACTTAGCATGCTTTTTGTTTGTATCAGAGCAAGGACAAGATTGCCTCCTACAGCAAAACTGCAAAAGTGGATAGGAATGATATGGGGAAGGAGATGAAAGAAAAGTCTTCCATGAAACGTAAACTTCAGTTTAATGTTAGTCCATCCAGAAATGAAGATCGAAATTCAGACACAGGTACACCTGCTTTTATTTTAATTTTCTTTTACCTCATCCTGCTTGTGCCCAGTTTGTTTTAATTATCTCTCACAAAGGATGCAAAGTAATTGTGAAGTGCTTACATGTATTCATTTGTTAGTCATTAGTTCAGAGAGCTGATTTTCTTAAACTGTCAAGGGCCAGCCAAAACATTTTAGGCTGTACAGTTTTTAGCTACTCTTTCTACTGTACATCTGCCTTATGATTTGTCTCTTTGATAGTTAGCATCATGACCTGTAATACTTGGTAACATGTCCTTTGTGTAGGTAATTGTTGCTCTTAATTTCAGCATTTCAATCTGCCCATGCATAGTCACTGAAACAGTATAAACAAACTCATTGACTTAAATAAGATTTAGAGCACATTATTAAATCACCCTGTTGTAATAATGAGATTTAAAAGTATTGAGATATTAATGTAATAGTTCAAGAATTTGTAATCAGCTGCATAAAATATTGCAAGTCATAAAACATTACAACGAAATATTTGTTGACAATCATTTAAATTTGAGATTTGGGAACTTTTTTCCTGTGTAAAATAGTAATGATCCATCATTAGCTCTGAAAGGAATAGATTTCTGAAAAGAATAGATTATTGCCTGAAATGTTATTACGACTTTGATTTGGTGCTAGGTTAGTGCCTCGAGAAAATATTAGTATTTATTGCCAATACAATAAGAAAATTCAATAAAAGTAACATCTTTATAAAACACCAGAATGGCACTTGATTCCTTGTTGATGAACAAGTCTGTCAAAAAAAAAAAAAAGATATTATGCAATGCTGTGGATCACACAGCACATTCCACTGAAATTATAACTCAGTGTGAAAGAGAGTGTCTTCCTGATCTATCTTCACCCCTATTAGCTCTTGTACTCCAAATTGGCTGTAAAGTAGATGATCTACAAGTATACCGTTGCTATCTGTTACCTGGCCAGATTGTCCATAAAGAAAACCAGTGTGGCTTCAGCCTCAAATCATGCCAAAAGCCAGTTTGATGAAGGTCCAAATAATATTTACCTTTCAGGAAAACCTGGAACTGAGACATTATTATGCATTTATTACTTTACCCAAGACTGGGAAACGGAAAGGTTTCAAACAGCTTTCTCTAAACTTTAGAATCTAAAGGCTGCAGGACTACCCTTTCCTTCAAGGTAGTACTCATAATTTAGCCACCTAGATGTCAGTACTGGCAGTCTTAATTAGCCAGAAAGAACAAGGATCAAAAGCACAAATGGTCGATTTAACTGTCTGAGTATCCTTTCCCTGCTCTGCAAGCAAGCTGAAAGGTACACTTTCTACTGAAGATGATATACTTATCTGCAGCCTAGCTGGGTTGCGAATTAGGAGACATGGCACTCATCCTTTCAGGTATGTGCCAAAATCATTGCTGGGGAACTGCTATTGTAGCATAGCCTTTGCCATATATGGTGCCACAATGTTTCATTCCGTCTTTCATGCTGTTCGACATCTACATGCAAGGGAAATCATTCAGAGATTTCGGTAAGGGTATCACCAATATAGAAATGACACCTTACTCTTCATCTCATTTCTTCTCTTGATCTTGGCTGGTTAGTGAAAATCCCTGAACTGTTGTCTTGCAGCGGTCTCTGATTAGATTATTAGTTTCTGATTAGAAGTTTCATTCAGACAAATGTGAGATGCTATAAGTATACTGTTTTTGTGGAGGATATATTCCCCTGGTGTAGCAGGTTTACAATCAAAGTAGTTATGGATTCAGCCCAGGTCCTGCATACCTAGTTGGTAGCACTGGCCTAGAAACCTTTTGATCAGGTAGTGCACTGTATTTCAGTTGAACTTTTTCCTGGAAAACAAGGCTTGACTTCTAGATAATGCATGTCTTGTCACCTGAAGGTTAGCTTACCATAATGTGTCCTTTGTGAGGCTGCCTCTGGAAATAATCCAAAAGCTTCAGTTGCTTCAGGATTAACCTTCTATCTCTCTAACTAGAGCTGGGAGGTGTGTACCCATTACATCAATGCTTAAGTCAGCATCACTGATTATTAATTTGCTTCTGGACTCAGTTCAGAATGCAGGTTTTAACCTTTTAAAGCTCTAAAGAACCAGAAACAAAAATACCTGAAACATGTTCATATGGATGCAGGTAGCTGAGACATCTGCTTCTTTCGGAGCCCTTCTTAAGATAGCTCTGCCACTAGATTTCACTCTAGAAGACATCATCATCACATTGCATTTATATCATACCACTTTTCCTCTTGCAGGGAGCCCAACTTTTTAGTTGTAGCATTCACAATCTATAAGACATAAATGTGACTGCTTTGCTACCTGCTCTTGAAATGAGTAATGAAGCTGGTTTTGTTTCAGTGTGCTTTTTCAGATTATTTTAGTAGATATTTGGCTAATTATGCTGCCTTCTTATATCTGTTTTTAGTCTTCTAAGATTTTGCTGTAACTTATTGCATTCCTTATTGTACTGGCCAAGATGTGCTGCATAGTATGCAACCACAGTGGATTGCCAGAGCTGCACAGTTTCCCCAGTTAGAATGTAGTAGGTCTGTCACCCCTTGGAACAGTTCTATCAGAAAACAGTGTGTGAATGCAGTGGTACTGGAGTTCTTCTCTTTGGATTTCTTCCCCCATCTTTCAAAAATATTTCTTCTCCAATCTATGAATCCTTGGATTTCTTCTCCCAAATCACAATCACAGAGTAGGTTTTAAAATTAATTTTAGCCTATGCTTAGCTTACTCAGTTTCCTCTTGAGTTTTCCTCCACTATCTCTGGCCATTGTTGTCCCAGTAGTTTCAGAGCATCCAACTCATCAGTAAAACAGGGCCCAAAGTGGTCCTGCCCAAAAGGAGAAAATATCTTGGGTTTAATTCCAGAGACCAACCAACAGCAGAACCAGAAGTTCAATCAGCAAGAAAATTCCTGCAGCTGCCAGTAAACCAACTACATCAATCAGCTTCTGAGAACTGGCTATCTCAATAAGTTCCCAAACAAGCATATTCCAGGACTGTTGTAAGCCTGAAACTTATTAGATAGTAATCTGCCCATCACAAAGGGTATAACTGAAATACCCAGCCACATATTTATCTTCCTGTCTAGAATAAAATTTCTGGCCAAGTTCCTGATCAGCCAACTGTGTTGGAGCAGCTGAGACTGGCCTGAACTTGGGAGCTGCATGAATGCTGTAGTCTCCAGACCCATTAGCTAGAGTCTCAAACTCTAACTTTGAGTCCACAGCCATTAGCAGAGGCAGAGAAACTGTGTGTGTGTGTGGGGGGGGGGGGTGTGATACACTAATAGGATTCCAAGCATGTTTTGATGCCAAACACTGGAAGACTACTGGACAGGATCAGCTGGTGAGGGAAATAGAATTAGAACACAGTGATCACCTTCCTAATCATCAATGTTTTGCTTCTGCACTATAGAGCCTAATGTTCACAGGTAGGAGAGTCGGTCTACCTACATAGGCCTTAGTGATAGATGGCAGGTTAGGATATTCTTCTTCTAGGGTCAAGTCTTAGATTTATTTCTTTAAAATAGTGATTGGCTGCTTTTAAGGGCAGAAACTCTGCTAAGGAGGTTTACATGATAGAATTTTTTTGCAAAAAACTCCATAAAATGATAAAACAGCAAAACCAGGGTGATTTTGCTCCAAAATGTGACGTTCAGCAACAATGCCTTCGGGCTGAAGGGTTGCTGACAAGGCATCTAGAATAACTGAGAAGTGACCAGAATAGGGATAAGTAACAAATAGTAAAGCTCCTTTTCCCAGAAATAGTGTATTGTTGGTGGACCTGGTTCTGGGGAATGGGAAAGATAATTCGACAAACAAATCCTAAATTGTAATACCAGCTTGCTCTTGGAATAAAATCTGCAGAATATTGGGACTACTCATAGCTATATTTCACAAATCGATTTTAACTTTAATACATAGCACCAATTAGCTTATTGGACTGTAGATGTCAGTTTATTTCATTTGTCCTTTATGTTTTTAAAAGTAGTAGTTAGGTTAGTTTGGCATGATTTGTTCTTTGATTAGGTACATACTATGGTTTTGAAACACATTGCAAGTTGTCCCTGTTACTGCATCAGAATGCCAGCAGAGCTTATAAGAACCAGTGCAAAGCAAAATTACGTGTTCTGCCTTACCAGTTACAACATGAAATAGGTTCTGAAAAAGGAGTTGGTTTGTGACACTTAAAATATAGCCAATATTTGTTATTCTGGTTTATCTCTATAATAGAGGGGTTGATATCCTATGTCAAGCACCTGAAGATCAAATGAGTATGAGAGAGAACTAGTTAAATGGAAAAAATACATATTTTGAACATGCAGTTGGGAGCTCATGTTTATGAGGCATTCTTCCTTTCTGTTAGAGAATGGTTACAGGCCCGCTGCATGCACTTACTTGATTTTATCATGTTTATCTTCCATTTACTTCCTTCATAGAATTGAAGGCAGCATGATGTAGGATTCCCAGATTGCTTCTGGTCCAGAAACTATGCAGACCCAGAGCTGCATGAACCCCATGATACAGGATTGCATGCTTTCTTCCCATATGCTTAGGCAGCACCACAGAGATTTAGTTGTGCAGCTTCTTCAGTTATGACTTCCACAACAGTTTGCAGCATGAACCATTCTGCTTAAACTTGTGGGATGGAGTCCTGAATTGCATTCTATGGGCAATCTCCAATAGGGTGCTTACACCCCTGCTGCAGCACCCTGCCATTCCAAATGAGCAGAGAAATGTTCTTTTCTGAAACAAGGCAGGTCAGCAGACCTTGTGTAAAGGAGCCCTGTTGACCTGCCCTCATCCAGAAACAAGCATTTCAGTTCCTTTTGGGGCTTCCTCTGGGAAGTGTTAGGTCTCTGCTGCACAAGAGGTAGGTTCCACTGGCACAGGAGAATTGGTAGATTCACCTCTTCTGCAACAGAAACTGTCAAGTGCAACAAAATTGGTGCAGGCATATGTACCCCTTGGATACTGCCCAAGGTATAGTAAAATTAGGAAGCATTTTGAATTTTTTATATATGTAAGGTAATGTTTAATGCTACTCGAATAGTTAAAAAGCCATTGTGATTCACTGTACTATATTCTTCTGCTCCAGAAAACAGCAAAATTAACCTTGTAGATATATTCTGACACAATTTTTTTAATGAAACATACAGAAAAGCATGTTTTCTGGGTGTTTTTAAATCTTGTTATGAAGGATCATAATTCAGCATATTGCAATCTCACCTGATTTAGTTGTTTCATCATAGTGTTTGTCCTAATTGTCCGTGTTCTGCTTGTGAGTTCATTTTTCTTATTTTAAAAAGTAATACTAAATATGAGTAAGTAAAATAGTGCACTTCAGTGCATAGTTAGAATTTGGATGATCTATGATCTAGGAAATCAAGCTGTCCTGCCAGGGTTGTGGTATATTTGGAGTTGTGCAAGTTCAGAAACAACCTCTCCTTCTTCTTCAGCATCCCCCACTCTCACCCAAATTAGTAAAATATCCCTGAAATAATCTGGAAAAAGGCTGTTGAAATGAAATTGAAGTTGATAGCAAAGGACCAAAGAATCTTGCAAAAGATTTATATACTTATAAACCAAAGTCTGTTATCACTTGTTAAGGAGATTAGCTTTCATATAAAGCAACTCTGCAATGGAGCACTAAGCAAGAAAGACATTTCACAGTGAAGTGCATTCTTCTGCAATATTTTCATGTGAAATTGCCTCAGTTATTGTTTAATTAATAGGCATCTTAACAATAGTAGGGCTTGTTGTTCTAGGTTTTGTTAGGCATTTATTTAAAAGCACTGTAAGGTTAGTATACAGATGCTATGAAATATCCAAAAAGTGGTGTGTCAGCATTTCTATCTTGTATGCCACACTTCCTTCCTCTTGCTCTCCTCCATCCCTTTTCTCCCATGTCTTCTTCATTCTGTAGATTCAGATCCAGGACATACAAATGAAAACTGGGGGGAGAGATTAATATCTTCTTACAGGACATTTTCAGGTAAATGGATTATCAGGTGTACTTACTATAGTTGCATTGTTTTCCTATTAATATCATTACAGTATTTATTTTTCTGTGGTAGTGAATAGCCTGCAAATAACTTCCATGACAATATGACTGTAAAGTACGCCACCTTTTATCAGAGAAGCTAAAATGAAATTAACCATGTACAGAAGTGTATTTCCCTTCCAATGAAATCTACTCACATCTACTCACAGTGGCAATAGCCACTACTTTAGGACATGTCTTATTTTAATATTACAGATCAAATGGAAAAGTATTACACAGCAAGTGTGATACATATAGTTGTATATTCTTTGCTGCCGGATGTCTAACAATGCAATCCTATGTAAGTTCAGGGAAGAGCAAAGCTACAAATCTACCGCTTCATCCCAGGCCTTGATGGCTTGAGCTGGTCAGGACAGAAGGAGGGAGCATGGGTGTTTTTATTTTAAAATTTCCCTGATTGGAAGCAATGGGAGGATTAAGCATAGTTACGAGTATGTTAGCCATTTCAGGCTCCTTGAAAAGGAATGGATCAACTTTGGATTCACTAAATCCAAAACTGGATCTGACCCATCCGTGCCCTTCCTTGATTCTCTGGAACACCTACTCTTGTTGCTTCTCATGGGTGGAAGCTGGCCGCTGGAGTGCATGCCCTCCATCCTAAGCTAGCATCCTCTCCACCTTATACGGACACCCGTTAGTGTTCAGCTGACTGATTTGTGGGTTAGGATTTCTTTGTCATAACATTGTAAGAGTGTCTTCAAGTCTTCCAGTGTTAAGAATGTTTTTAAACAGTGTTACATGGATTACACAACTGCTAACAAGCCATTTAAAGTAAAAGTTAGAAAATAAATATTACAGACAACAAATCATGCCAAACGTGTTTGAATGCTTTTCTTTTTTAACTGTAGAAGCTCTTCTTGAAAGGCATTAAGTAGCCCAAGCCGGACAAATCTAGTTTTTCTCAATAGTTGATCTCAAATCATTATACTTCACATATGTGTATGAAGCATGATAACCTTTTCTGGAGAAGAATAAATTAAAGAGAATAAAATGATAGTTATTTTTGATAATGAACGTTGAGGAGAGATATAGAAAAATCCTAATAGCACTGAAATTCAGGCAAGAAATGTTTTAGATGATAATAAGACTAAGAGATGCTTGAAGAATATTTTACAGTTATTGATCATCTCTTTAACTTCTGTAAACAATATTTATTTCATAAAACTAATTCTAAAAGAGAGTTAACAATTTACTGAATCTTTAGCACAAGCTTTTAACAAAAGCAATGCTGTTGCCCGTGAATCAGATATAGCATAACAAGTCTGTGCTCGATTACATAATATAAAGCTAATTTACACACACATTTGTGTATTTTACGTTGAGTTTTTGTAGTGCTTGTACAGGAGGTGGACTCTTCAAATGTGGCCACTAAGGCTGGAGACAAATACGTAGGCAGATGGAAGGAGGAAACTAAGAAGTTATGTAACTGGTTAAAATACATGTAAGAAAAAGCTGGACAGTCCTTTACAAGGGCACATTTATGCTTGGTTCTTATAATTTTGGTGGCAAGTTGTAACTTTGTATCACTTGTGAATTATATGGTTGAACCAATTTCTGTAGAGAACAAATTGAAAGCTACTGGTTCTACCAGTGAAAATTTGGCAAGAGCAATAGATAAAGCCTAAAGTTGCAATTCTTGTGCACACATATCTGAAAATAATCCCCACTAAACCTAATGGAACTTATTTCTGAGTATACATGAATATCATTATATCATACAATTCTCAAACACATGAGCATAAAATTCAGCAAATTCATTTTTTCTCTTGTATGCTTTAAAATGCCACCAGATCCCATCCATTCATCTATTGGAAGATATGTTGACTTGAAACATAGAACATGAATAAGTCACACACATACATTCATAAGATTTGTTAATGGTTATCTATTACTCAGAGTTTTTGCACATTTTTTCAGAGGGATTCATGTAGTATCCCTGTTCTAAGGAGCCTTGGGTCATACTTCATGTAACAGTGATAGCGGGAGGAAAAGGATGGAGCATCCTTCCTTTCCCATGTTTCAACCATACAAAATTTTCTCTTCTGCTTTTTTCTTCTTATCAGAAAAAAATGGTTCCTTCAAGTCAGTGGTGCAAGTAGGTAATTTTAGGTCTCAGGGTGTTAACCCCTGCCCCCTTTAGATGAACTTACCTATTACATCAGTTGCATGACATGCAACTAACATTTCCTCCTCCCCACCTCACCTCAGCCATTTCATGCTTTATAACAGTTGCAAAGCCATTATTAGAATGAAAAGAACCCCAAGCCCTATCCCAATCTTGTTATTTGAGAAGGAATACTCTAACATATGTCGCTTTGCATTTTATACTCATTTAAATGGTAATTCCATCATGATTGCAGTAATAAAAATGGAGGTTGCTTCTCCTGTCCAGATGCTACATTTATTTAACTTGAGAATAACCAACGTTTTGTTGTAAGAAAGGATTTATACATGTTGAAGTAAAGTGAGTATTGATAATCATGTAGATGCCCAACCAGCTGCCACCTAACTATAAAAAGTTTCCAAAGAATAAGAAAAGATGTTGCATCAAGCAGTGTTAGTCCCACTAGGCTGCAACATACCCATGACATCCCAGGGATCAACACTAGACCTGTTAGTCCCTACTCCAATGACAAAATTATCTTGTGGGAGGTTATTTAAGGGAATCCTGGTTTGCGGGCCCCTGGACCTGGACCCCAAGGTGTAGCCCTAACTGCGCTAGTGTTGCTAGTCACAGAAGTCCACCAGGAGACAAAATAGAGAGGAACATGTATGCCTTACCTGTGTCCTACCTGTACCTCATGTTTCAGAAGTTCAGTATTGACCTGAGGCTGATCCACAGGTCATGTCATCATCACTTCTAGTTTGTTTTTAGAGTGGTGTTTTAACCTCTCAATAATCCCATGAACTATTGTATGCTTTGTCCAATGCCACGCAGTAAACTTACCTATCAGAGATTTAGCCAGGGCTCTTCCACATCTAAGGACTATACTCCAACCATTACAGCACACTCAGCTCTGGTAAGCAAAACAGTTTAGAGAGAAGGTTTGATGTCCTTTAAAACATACTAAAAACCATTTGGTATCTTCAGGAAATGTATTAAATGCTATTCTATCCATTTGTAGATTTGTGTTTTATTTGGAATGTGTTGTTATTGGCAGCACTTTGCCATTCTTACAAATCTACTGATATTTCCAGAGAAAGAAGTCCCAGAAAAAAAGAAAATGAAAAAGGAAGCTGGAAATAAAAAAGCAGCACCTGTCAGCATTCTTTTTGGTTACCCACTATCAGAGCGCAAGCAGATGGCCCTTCTTATGCAGATGACAGCCAGAGATAACAGTCCAGGTAATGCCAAACACTCCTTCCTTCTGTATGCATACCTGCAACTGCAGGCCTGTAACAAGAGGGAGCTGACTCTTTTTATAGCTACATAAAGTGGTTTGGATTTTCTTTGGGACTGCAGCATGGAAAACAAGAATTAACCAACAAACTCACCCTCATACTGGTTGGGCTTAGCGCGGTTCCTCAACTACAATTTAGATGATGATGATGTCATCGTCGTCATCGTCACATTATTTGCATTCAAAGAATGAACAGTAATATGTTGTTTTGCCTTGGCCCCTTTGAGCCATAATAGGATTTACTGTATTTTTTGCTCTGTAAGATGCGCCTGACCATAAGACGCACCTAGTTTTTAGAGGAGGAAAACAAGAAAAAAAATATTCTGAATCAAATGGGCACATAATCACAGGCACATTCCCCGTCACTTCCCCATGGGCTGCACATCTGACAGACTTACTCCACTCACGTATTTGCTCTATAAGATGCACAGACATTTCCCCTTACTTTTGAGGGGGGGAAAGTGTGTCTTATAGAGCAAAAAATATGGTACTTCCTCATGTACATGCATAAGATGCATAAGATTGGGCTGTGAGTTAACAATTTCTACTAGTCATACTTGATATTTTTAATTTGGTAATTTTTAATTTGCAGTTTTATTTTTCTTCATATTATGGCACAAGGTTATTAACCTCATATATTCAACTTTTCCAAATAAGGATAGTCTTGAAGGTTTAGTGATCTTTTGAGCAAGTGTACTTAAAATTAACATCTGTGAAAATGGATGTCGGATATGAACTAACTTTTTGTAATGATGAATATTACACCATATGGGTTGCACCCACCGGTGTCCTTTTGTTAATGCAAAACTTCTAATGCTTGCAGAAACCCAACATACTACTGTCAAATCCAATACTTTGCTTGAACAAGCTTCTGTGCAACTCATTGCAACCTCACTGGGTTAGATGCTGCTGCTGCTAGTTGTACTTGTTCCTCTAATGATACAACACTATCTCTTATTCTTTTTCACTGCTATAACACTGAATATAACCCAAAGTTCTTTTTGCTATTATTAACTAATTTGATACTTTTTGCTACTAATAATTATTATTGAACAGTTTAGACTAAGCTGTACTTATTTTCTTTTGCATTATATTCATTATTTTTACTTTCATGTACTGTATGTGTTCTGCTGTGGCTAGCAAACAGGAAAGGATCAAAATCTCTTTTATAAATGTTTAGAAAAAGAACAGGTATCAATATTATTTTATTCGCAGGATTAATTCAGAAATTTTAAAAATGTATTTTATGAAAATAGAAGTGAAATGCCTATCATCAAATGAGTTAGACAGAGTATATGCCGAACCTGCATATTTCAGCTATGGGAAAACAGGGGCTTAACCAGTCAAGGAGGTGGCCAGGTTTTGCTCATGTAGAATGTTATTCCCAAATTAAATGCTTTATAATTGACCATGGAAGTGAACAGCAGCTATTTGTATGAGAGAAGTGCATCCATTTTTATGTACCCATGTGAGAAAGCATATGTCAGCTACCATTGCCCCTTTTCCTGGCACCTGCAGTGGAAAAATAGATTCTCCGCCTTCATACATACAAATGTGTGTGCACACATGCGCACAGATGTGTTCCTAAATAAGGACAGGTTATAGTGACAGGCAGAGTTTAGTAGGAATTGTTAATTACTAAGCACTATTTGGTATTTCTCTATTCCTTTGTCTCACTGTCCTTGTCTGACACCTGTCTCTCTTGTATGCCAGAGTGGGATTGAACTTTAGGAAATCAAACCTAGCTTTGATTGAGGTATATGGTACTCAGCCTCACTCTCATATATTATATAATATATTATATATAGATAGATATATTTATATATCTGATGAAATTAATGAGTTGGTCACAGGCCTTTAGTCAAGCAAGCTTCAGTCACTATGGCACAGATATTTATGTTATGTTTTGACATTTATTCTTTAGATCCCAATGTAAATCACCCTTTACAAACAGCACCAGCACAAAAGAAAACACCAAGTTCTTCATCAAGACAAAAAGACAAAGTCAACAAAAGAAATGAACGAGGGGAAACCCCCTTACATACAGCAGCCATTAGAGGTGATATTAAACAAGTTAAAGAGTTAATCAGTCTAGGTGCAAATGTGAATGTGAAAGATTTTGCAGGTAAGTTTGATAAGGAGTTGATTTTTTACAGATCTGTCATATTATTAGCCATTTTCAGGTGTCAGATTGTCCTCCACATTTATTTTTACTATGCAACAGACATGTGAAAAGATTTGTGCAGCAGATTTGCACCTGGATCCTACATACATGGATCCTACATACATTTAATGGAAGAAAGCCCTGTGCATTTCAGTAGAATGTACTTCAGATCAGTGTGCCTAGAATCAAAACATTGATTTGTTTATTTTGTTGTACTGTCAAAGTCATTTGAATGTGCCAGTGTGATGCAGAACTTAAGAAGGTTGCCCTGTGAGATAACCTTTGCTAGGAGAAAGACGGGGAATATGACCCTGTTGGTTCTCCTGGACCTCTCAGGGGCTTTTGATAGCCTCACCCATGGTATCCTTCTGGGTAGACTGGCTATGTTGGGAGTTAGAAGTACTGCTTTGCAGTGGTTCCACTCCTGCTTGACTGGCCAATTTCAGAAAGTGGTGCTGAGGAATTATAACTGCACCATGGCAGTTATGCCATGGGGTACCGCAGGGCTCTATTATATTCACTATGTTCTTTAACATCGACATGAAGCTGCTGGTGAGGTAGTCCAGAGATGTGGGCTGAGATGTCACCAATATGCTGATGACACTCAGCTCTACATCTCTTTTTATTCTAACCAGGGTGAGGCAGTTGCCTTTCTGAATCAGTTTCTGGGCTTGGTAATGGATTGGATGAGGGCCAATAAACTGAGACGCAATCCAGATGAGAGAGAAATACATTTCATTGGATGGGGGTCATCTATCTAGCTGGGGGATATATATTATACCTGTCCTGGATGAGGTTGTACTCCCCCATGTAGATATAGAGTGCATAGATTGGGAGTGCTCCTAGTTCCTGAATCATCATTGGAGCCACAGGTTGACTTAGTGGCATGAAGCATCTTTTATCAGCTTAGACTGATTTACCAACTACAACCCTATCTGGACAAGCAGAGCCTAGCAACGGTGCTCTGGTAACCTCTTGTTTGGATTCCTGTAACACTCTCTATGTGGGGCTGCCTTTGAAAGCAGTCTGGAAACCTCAATTGGTTCAAAATAGGACAGCAAGGGGACTAGCTGACAAGAACATATTATGCCAGTCGTCTTCCAACTCCACTGGTTATCAGTTGAAGTCCAGGCCCAATTCAAAGTAATAATATTTAAAGCCCTAAACGGCTTGGGGCCAGACTCTATGAAGGGAATATATTTTCTTGTACGTACCTATTTGGACCCTGGGGTCATCATCTGAGATCCTTCTCAGAAAGCCCCCTCTAAGGAAATGAAGAGGGTAGGGGAAGGGCTACTACTAGAGGAAGGGCCTTTTCAGTTGTAGCACCCCATTTATGAAATCAGCTCCCCAAAGAGGTGCACCTAACACCTATTCTTTATTCTTTTTGGTGCCTGGTAAAAACCTTTTTATTTGCCCAGCATTGTAATAGTTAATTTTTATTTTATTTGTTCATATTGTATTTTATAGTACTTTCTAAAAATATATTGGAAAAAGTAACATAAGGCTGTGCTCACCTAATTTGCATTTCAGCTTCTTTAAGATGCCACATAAATGGCATTGCATAATTTAAAATTTGCTGTCATGGGCAAGAATTAACTGTGCACTCCAAGGGGATTTTCAAATTGCTTGCCTTTCATCTCTTCCTCACAAAAGGCAGATACTTTCCTCTCAGGACACACAAGTGAATGGAAGGAAGGGTGTTAAATTCTAAAAAGCTAGCATAAGAGAGAATATAGCCCCTATATCAAACACACATTCAGGAAGTGAATACATATGGGTTGAGTGTGGGTTGTCATTGAACTGTGGGTTATATGAACCCATCCATGCAACCATTACAAAGACCCACAATTCACAACCCAACATGCAAGTATGTGTTCTGTTCAGATTAAGAAACCCTGTTTTGTTTTAGGGTTTTTTTTAGCTTGATTGGTTTCATGCAACACAACAGCCTACGGTTCAACAGCAGCCTACACTCAACTTATAGTAAACTTTGAGCATCTGTCATCATGTAGTCAATGTTGTACCAAGTGGTCAAGGCAGTGATTAGAGCATAGTTTCTTAATTAACCTATAGTCCTTAGAAGTTTGCCATGCAAGGCAGCTGTTTGGAGAGTCTTTTCTGTTAGAACATGCCACTTGTCAGAACTAAAGTCCTTTATTAAAACAGCAAGCTGGCAAATCACAGCAACGAATGCTATTAATTTATTTTTGCTTATGTATGTAACAGTAGCCTTTAAGCCCACAGACTGAAAAATAATTTCCTATTAAATTTAAAACATATATGTTAAAATAGTATGTTTCCTTAGCAGTGAAACTGCATTGTCTGTGGTGCATAAAAAAGATCTCAGGTTTATAACTGCAGCTTTTTTTAGTAAAAACTTGAAGGGCTCTATTGTCTTTATTTTTAAATTATTTAATTTTGTTTATGAAACACTAAAATCTGCTATTAAGAAAACCTGATTTTCTTCTTTCATAATAGGCTGGACACCACTCCATGAAGCTTGTAATGCTGGTTATTATGATGTTGCTAAGGTCTTGATAGCTGCAGGAGCAGATGTGAATACTCAAGGACTAGATGATGATACACCTCTCCATGATTCTGCAAGTAGTGGACATAGAAAAGTATGTGCCATTCATGAATTGTATAAAATGATATTATATAAATATTGGTGTAAAGATCACAAGTAACTAAAAGGATAATCTAATATTTCAGATCGTGAAGTTGCTCCTCCGACATGGTGGGAATCCATTTCAGGCCAACAAACATGGAGAAAGACCTGTTGATGTAGCGGAAACAGAAGAATTGGAACTATTACTGAAAAGGGAAGTTCCCATTTCTGATGATGAAGAAGGTTGTTCAGGTTAGAAAACAACCTTTAATTGCATTTCTTTAGTCATCTGTGAAGGTACATACCATGTCCAAATGTAGTGTTACACTCTTAAAGGACCAGGACACAGAATCCTGATCATGCAGATAAGGGCTGATATGGTTCTGTTATTTCCACTGAGTATCCTGGAATAAAGTAAATAAACAGTAATCTAAGACAGATTCAAACAGGGACAGAACATGCTTCAATCCAAATAACAGGGTAACAAGGACATGAGAGAACATGATCTCCCTAACTGCATGTAGGCCATTACTTACTCCCATATAAATTAAGATTATCAGTTTGTATAGGAAAATAAAATTCCACACTAACAACTGAGATGGAGGCAAAACTTGTCTGATGCTGAACAACCTGGCCTCCTCAGGAGAACCAGTAGCTCTGATAAGTAGAAAGCTGCCTTATGCCAGGTTAGTTTTGGGTCTGTCTAGCTTAGTTTTGTCTACACCAAGACTGCAGGGAATTTCACCCTAGCAGGCCCTCCATGCCCACTGATGTCATATCCCCCAATTCTCTGCTGAAAGCTATGCAGTTCTCTCAGCATGGTAGAGAGGAGGAGCTGCTGTTCCCTAATTTGGGCTAACAGAATAAAAACATATGGCTAGAAATGTATTCAATCTGTATGTGATTTTCCACAATTGTCATTATAGTTGAGAAGTTAATGTATTGATAACTTTTTTCATTTTCTATTCTAGATCTTGAAGAGGCTCCATCTATAAATCCTTCAAGTATAGATGGAAATGTTGATTCTGAAACAGAGAAGGAATCTGTAGTTAATGATAGCAAGCATGTTCCTAATAAGACATCACTTTCATCTGCTCTTGATGAATATGAATTTAAAGATGATGATGAGGATGAAGTCAAGAAAATGATTGATGGCAGACATATACCTAGGAAGGATATGAGAAAAGAGGATGAAACAGAAATAGAACAGAGTAACTTATTTCTTAAACAAGAAAAGGTAGCATTTCCAAAATCATTTAAAAATAAAAAGCAGAAGCCCTCCAGAGTCTTATATTCAAGTTCCGAAAGTTCAGATGAAGACATTCTTCAAGACAAGAAGATAATCTCTCCTTCATGTACTGTCACAGAAATGGCAAATTCTGATACAAAGGTTAAAAAAGAATATGTTTTCAATGAATATAAACAAAAAGGAAAAGTCAAAAGAAAACTAAAAAATCAAAGCAAAAATAAAGAGAACCAGCAATTAAAGCTAGAAAAAGATAACTCCAGAATGACAAACATCAGTGCTTCCGTATTAGATTCCTTAGACAAAAGCAGGGAAGAAGAGAATTTTAGAAAAACTTTTAACCCCAAGGATGATTCTTCTTTACCCTTACTCCACATGACTGCTGGGAGATCCCCCAAGCATCCCTGTGGATTAATTGAAAAGCAGTCAGTACCCCTGAAACAAGAGAACGTTAAAACTTGTTTATCCCCAGGAGGGTCAGAAATAACATCACAATCTGAATTAGCTCGATATGACCATAATGCAGATCCGGAGTTTCTGCTGGAAAGCTCCAGTGGGAAACCCTACAAGAACAAAGAAAAAAGTAAGCATCAGAAAGAGTTTCTTTCAGAATTTGGTGAAAAATCCTGTCCTAAACTTAAAGAGGAAGATAATAGCCCATCCTTCGAAAACCCTGAATGTTTGATGAAAAAGGTTGATAAGGAGGGAAAAATAATTAAGAAGCATAAATTAAAGCATAAAGAAAGAGAAAAGGATAAACACAAAAAGGAGCAGGATGGAGAGAAAGAAAAACACAAGCACAGGGAAGGTTCTAAGGAGCTCCAAAGGAATACTGAATTTGATAGAGAATTTTGGAAAGAAAATTTTTTTAAAAGTGATGAGGCAGAAGATAACTCAAGTGTAGACCATGAATCTCAAACTTCAGAGAGGAAATCTAAGTTGGAAAAAGTTTTGATGAAAGAAGATAAATATGTAAAAGAGAAAAACTTTCAGAAAGAGAGAAATTTTAGAGAGGAGAGGGATAAAAATAAAAAAGAAATTGACAAGGAAGAGAAAACAAAAGATAGTAAGGAAGAAAAAGAGAGCATATTTACTGAGAAAGAAACAGAACTCTTTTGCTTAAGCGTTAGAGACATAACAACTATGTCTGTGGTAGAGAAAGAAACAGACATTGAGAAGCAGGAAAAAAACAGCAAGGAACATAGAGAAAAGCTAGAGAAGCGAAACTCTGCAACTGAAAAAGTAGAAAGAAAAAATGTAGACAAAGAGAAAAAAATAAAATGTGAACATAAGTCCGAAAAAGAAAAATCAGAAAATGAAAATGTTGAAAAAATGAAAGAAAAAGAAAAGTCATATTTACAGCAATCAGAAAAAACTCATAAAGAAAATGACAAATTAAAAAGTGTTAGTATTATTAAAAAGATTGATGACAAAGAAAAAATCAAAGAAAAACTTGACAAGAAGCACGACAAAGAAAAAAATGATAAACACCTGTCTGAATGCAAAGAAAAGCTTGGCAATGAAAGGAAGTCCAAGGTTTCTGAAAAGGAAGGTGAAAATTCAAAACTGGAGAAAGGAAAAAACAAAGAAAAAGAAAAGGAAACTGACAAAAAAGAGAAGTTGAAAGAACGGGATAGTTCAACAGTTGCAAATATAAAGCATGTACCAGAAGAGAAGAGGTGCAGTAATGAAAAAACATTGACTTTGAAAGAAAAGCCAAAAGATGAATTGCTGAAAACTCCAGATGGAAGAGAGAAGGACAAGAAAGATAAAGATATAGACAGATATAAAGAACGTGACAAACATAAAGATAAAATGCAGCAAAATAATGTACCTAAACTAAAACCTGAAACTGAAAAGCTTAAGTCTAAACCAGCACCTAAAGACACTCGGCCTAAAGAAAAGAGATTATTAAATGATGATCTGATGCAGACAAGCTTTGAAAGAATGCTTAGTCTTAAAGATTTGGAAATTGAACAGTGGCATAGAAAACACAAAGAAAAAATAAAACAGAAAGAAAAAGAAAGATTAAAGAATCGCTCCTGTTCAGAACTTAACAAAATAAAAGATAAGGACAAAACAAAACATGCACTTACTGAATTAAAAAACAAAGAGCTGATTCGTTCAAAAAGTTCTGAGTTGTCAGATGCTTGTGCGAAAGATAAACAGCCGAAAGATGCTACAAGTAGCCGGTCACAGTCTGTTGACATAAAGAACTTGGCAGCTGGTGGAAAACCATCCCTACTACTGGACAATACTTTAAGTAGGTCCCCCAGATCAGAAAGTGAAAAGACAGAGCTAACATCCAGATCAGTGTCTATGATTTCAGTTGCTAGTTCAGAGGATTCTTGCCATACTACAGTCACTCCTCCAAGACCCATAACTGAATATGATTCAGACTTTATGCTTGAAGGATCTGATTCTCAAATGTCTTTTTCACATTCACCATTTTTACCCAGTGCCAAATCACCTGCCCACCACGAGACTGACAGTTTATCAGAGTTGCCAGAACGTAATAAAACACCCATTTCAAACAGACTTCCACCAGCTTATGTTAGATCAGCCTCTGTCGAAGATGTTAAATTTGTTATAAATGATTGCAGACCAGTTGTAGAAGTACGAAGATGCAGTATGCCAGCTGTTGTTTATGAAAATACAAAGCAGAACCGTGTTTTGGAAGAAAATCACAGTACTTTGCTCTCTTCTCAGAGTCACAGTTCTCCTAAGCATGAATCACCATGCTGTAATTTGCTTGAAAAGGATTCCCAAATTGGAATGTCAAACTTATATTCCAGTTCTGCCTCATCACCAACTAGACCCAATTCTAACAAAACTAATGCATCAGATGCAGTCATTAAAAATGTTATGCTATCAAGCCCACCAGGAGAAAGTCATACATCTTTAGAGCAGAGTAACCAGAATAACATGACCTCATCAAGTAAACCATGGGATGTGCCTTTGGATAGATTTAACACATTAAACAGTGAATGTACCTGTTCAAATTATGCAGGTTGTGAGCAACAAGCAACAACAGCTCCAGTCATACATAATTCTGAAAATAAAATCATGAAAGAGCAGAAAAATGTGGAACCTTCTGTTCATCATGCTGAAAACATAGCAAATTCCACATTACCAGAATCAGGAGCATTTTTGTGTCTTCCGTCTTCCTGCCCATCTCGGATTCAGCCAGTCATAGATACTGTCTGTGTATCAAAACATGCAGCTTTACCAGATATTATCAGCCAAGAGTCTTCAATTATTAAGCACCAACAAAGTGCCATTCAAGCTTCCAGTTCAATTTTAGATGTAGATGCTAACAGTAAAAAGAAAATGGAAAAACAATTCTTATCAAGCAATAAAAAGTCAGATGTGCTTATCACTGTGTATCCTGAAAGCTTGACTAAGGATATTTCACAAAATTTTGAAAAGGAGTTCACTGCAAATGATCCTCGCCCACATCCTAATGCAAGTTCATCTGTAGTTAGTAAGCTTATTTATAAGACATCACAAGCTGATGAACTAGATAATAGCATGATAGATATTCAGATCCAAGGTGAAAAAGCCCATTCTGATGATCTTTGTTCATCCCTTATGGGTGGTAATAAAAATGACGTAGATCTACAGGATTTAAATGCCAGAACACTTAAAGGAAGTACAAATGAGTATAACAGAAAACTTTTTCATGTTGACAACATAGAAAACAGTTCAGTGGAAGAAAATGTGCAGCAGTGCCTTTCACCCTGTTTGGAAAGCCATTCACAGTTGACTGGACTTGAAGAACATAAATACAGCCCAACTATTAAATCAGAACTGGAAGAAACAATAGAAGATCATAAAGCACAACAGTATGAAGTTCCTCAAAGAATTACAAGGAATAGAGCAAATTTGCTTGCTAATCAGAACAAGCAGAATCTAACTGTTTGTCCCCAGACATCAGAAAGAGATTCTGAATCATCTGCCTCTATTAAAGGAAGGATAAGGCTGACTGAGGAAGATGATGCTCAAGTGCATCATCCACGTAAAAGAAAACTGTCACGTGTTCCTCAGCCTGTACAAGTGAATCCATCTTTGATGCAAGCTAAAGAAAAGACTCATCAGTCCTTGGCAGCTATTGTAGACTCTCTAAAACTAGAAGAGATTCAGCCATACAATACAGAGAGAGCAAATCCATACTTTGAATACTTGCACATAAGAAAGAAAATAGAAGAGAAGCGTAAATTACTATGCAGTGTTATTCCTCAAGCACCTCAGTATTATGATGAATATGTGACCTTCAATGGATCGTATCTATTGGATGGCAATCCCTTGAGCAAGATATGCATTCCAACTGTAAGTAAATGGATATGTGAGTTAAAGGGAGAATGTATACTCTCAACAATCATCAAAACATCTCAGCTAGAGTTGTCTGAGATGGGAGGAAGCTAAGTTGCTTCCTTCCTTTGCAGCTGTGCATGAATTGAAAATCAAGGCTTGCCGTGCTTCTCTTCATAGGCCTGTAGTGCATGGTATATACAGTGTTGTGGAGAGTTGGCAATTCTCTCATGTAAACAGTGCTTTTTTTGTATAAAAAAAAAAAAAAAAGACACCGGAACTCACGTCGCCGGCAGTAAGCTTCAAGGGAGTTCAGACAAATCTATTCACTCTTGGCTGAATTATTGAATGAGAATTGAGAAATGGGCTATTACTGTGTCTATGAATTTATAGCAGGTAGATCAACAAATAGATAAAATGATGGTGGTGGTGGTGATGATGAGTGGGAAGAGGAGCATGTTCAAGGGAGTAAGCATGCGACCGCACACACCAATCCCAAGCCGAGCGAGCAGTGTATCTGCCTATCTCACTAGCAGATAGCAGATAGCAGACACAAAAGCAGCCTGCAGGCACTATGTGAATGATGTTTGCTGCTGATCTGCTACAGTTCAAAATCACTTCATAAAATCCATTGGAAAAAAAGGTGCCAGAACGCCGTTCCGGTGCATTCTATGACAAAAAAAGCCCTGCATGTAAATATCAACAGTTACATTTTATAACACTTGTTAAAAACATTATAAAAATGGTCATTTGTTTTATTTTGGAGTGCAGCATCATGCTCATTTCATCACCTACATAATGACTTTTATAACAAGAAGCCATAACATAAATGAAAAGGGTTTATAACTAAAATATTGCAGAGACTTTTGAAAAACAGACTTTTTCTTGGTAGAAAATTGTGTAAGGAATTGTTAGGAATTACTTCCTTGTCACCTGACACGGACTTGACTGCATTCATATATAACATGAAAACCATAGTTTATGTGGATGAGCTTGTATAAGTCATGCACATGTGTACTCTTCCCTTTCTTCCTCCCATTATAGCTGTGAGCAAGATTTTGGGAGCTTTAAAAAAATAACCACAATTTAGTTTTACCTCTGAATCTTAAACTGTGGCCAATCTTAACAATTATTTACTATAATTTACTAAAACAAGCCATTTTTGTCTAGCATCATTTGAAGATGGCTTGATTTGGTAAACTATAGTGGATAAAGCAACTTACACAGTTTCAGATATCACCATCACTCTGCCATAAGCCTGAAACAGAACTGAAAGCTTGTGACTGTGCCAGAAGGGAGGTGCATGGACCCAAAGTGCTGCTTAGAATACTAAACCATGGTTTAGCTTTATGTGCAAATACCATCTTTGACTTTTGCCTCTGCTGAATATGCAGAATCTTCACACATTGTTTCTTGCGCAAAGGACAAATTCATACTTATTATGAAAATTGCCAATCAACAACTGTTTGAAAACACCTTAGTAAAAGTAAACACAAGAAGAGAAGGTAAAATAGTGTGCTATAAAGTTCTCTGTCAGTGTGATTTCTTGGAATATTTTTGAAGATTTGGACTTCTGAGAAGATGTAACATAAACATCTTCCATTTCTATTAAACTGTGTGAGCAAGACAATGGAGATTAACAACGGGAAAACTTTACATAAAGAGTTTCCAAAACAGGGAACTTTTAGAATGGGGAAATTGACTGAAGGAAGGGAATAAAGAGTATCTTGCATCTTCATTTGAACTCACCACCGAGTTCTTAATTGCCAGAACTGAAATAGCAAACAGAAAAAACTTTGAAAGCTCTAAGGCTGGCTTCTCCAGCCTGGTGCCCTGCAGACATACTGTATTACAGCTCCTTTCAGCTTTCAGCCAGCTGAGGCTGCTATACTTTAAAGGCTGCAAAAAAATACAAAGCAAACTTTATATTTCAAAGTATTACAACAGCATAAGCCAAATATGTCGCTTTTTAAAGTCATATTTTTCTTTCAGTAGAATGTATTTTTTGTTCAAGCCAACTCGTATATACTATTTCATGAACTTGATATTTAATGGAATTGTTTTTACAGATTACACCACCACCTTCACTGTCAGATCCACTTAAAGAACTCTTTAGACAACAAGAAGTTGTAAGGATGAAACTTCGTTTACAGCACAGTATTGAAAGGGTAAGACTAACATACAATTCTTGCTAACATTTATTTAGCATTGATACAGCCGTTTTAAAGCTAGAGGATGAGAAGGAAAAAAATAAAAATTATTAAAAATACCTAAAAAGTTAAATTGAATATTTCTGCCCTCAATGCTTGGTGTAATCCCTTACAGAGAAGGTTCCAGAGCAAAATCTCAGCATATTCTCTTGTTGTGCCTTAGTTCATGAAGATGTGGAAAGGTTGCTTTTGCTAAATCAGAAAACAAAAAAGAAGGAACGGTGAGGAAATGGAGAGGAGGTGGGGTAACCCCATTTTGTGCCTGGATCTCTCAGTGGCTTTCAATACCATCAAGCAAAGTGTCTTTCTGGGGTTACTGTTTGAGTTGGGAGCAGGGGGTGCTACATTTGAGTGGTTCTGCTTCTCCTTGGTGAGTTGATTCCAGTAGATGGTACTTGGGGACTACTATTCAGCCCCTTGAACTCTCTGACATGGGGCACCTCAGGGGTTAGTCTTGTTCTCCATGCTATTTAATATTTACATGAAACTGCTTTTGCTGGGTCATCTGGAGTTTTGGAGTGCATTGTCCTCAGTACACAGATGACACACAGCTCTGTTTCTGCTTTTCATCTTCAGCAGCTGAAGATATGCTGAACCAGTGCCGGGCTGTGACAGTGGTCTAGATGGGAACTAACAAACTGAAACTCAGCCAAACATGGCTGAGATGCTGTTAGTGGGTGGTTCTTCTGACCAGATGGAGGGAATGCAACCTGTTCTGGATGGGGTCACACTTCCCTTGAAGGTGCAGATTCATAACTTGGAGGTGTTTCTTGAGTCAGCTTTATCACTTGAGGGCTAGGCAGCATGGAGAGCCTTCTACCAGCTTTGGTTGGTGGACCAGCCATGCCGCTATCTGGACAGGAATAGCCTGGTCATCTCTAAGCTAGATTACTGTAATGTACTGTATGTGGGGCTGCCCCTGAAATCTGTTCAGAAGCTTCAGCTTGTGCAAAATGCAACAGCCAGATTAGCAACAGGGACCAGAAGGTCCAATTACATAACACCGATTCTGGCCCACGTGCATTGGCTGACTGTATGTTTCCAATCCCAATTCATGATGTTGGTTTTAACCTGAAAAGCTTGGTACAGCTTGGGACCACAATCCCTGACAGAATGCCTCTCCCAGCAACAAACTTACCCATACACTATGATCAAGATCTGGGACCTGCTTCTAATTGCCACCTCGGAAGAAGGCTTGTCTGGGGGCAGGAAGGAACGAGGCCCTCTGTGTGATAGCCCCCAAATTATTAAACAAGCTTCTCAATAAAGCCTTGGCATTGATTTTACTATATTTTTGGTGCCAGAATAAGGAAGCATTTACCAACTCCAAATAGCACTGGTGGGGAGGGTATCGCCTGCTGTTTTTCAACAGACATAGCAGTATAGACTGGTTTGTTAGTTATAAAAATGTGGTTTTAAATGTGTTGATGTGTACTTATTGTATTCTTGTTTTATTCTCTACTGTATTTATTACTATTGTTCACTGTCCAGAGAGCTTCAACTAGGAAATAAAAAAGGTTGATGAAATGATATGTTCATTAAGTCTACATTTTAATTTTTGTTCCATTAGGAAAAACTTATTGTTTCCAATGAGCAAGAAGTACTGCGTGTTCATTACAGAGCAGCAAGAACTTTAGCTAATCAGACGTTACCTTTCAGCGCGTGCACAGTACTGTTAGATGCTGAAGTATATAATGTGCCTCTGGACACCCAGGTAAAAGCAGACTGCTTCTAGGGTTTTGTGATATCTAATTCATGTTATTGTTTTAATCCATCATTAGAATTTATTTTATATTTGTGACAGTATGAGGTAACTGCTAGATTAAGAATAGTACCTATTAGTGTGAAATCTAATCTCTTCCTGTTCACGTAATTGTTGAGCTTTCACTTTTAAAATGCTGCAGTGAGCAAACAAAAAAAGACTCTAGAGCACACTTCAGTACTCCACAAGCATAATGGTTGTGTGCAGAGGATTTCCCAGAAGCTCCATAGATCCTTTTCCTAAAAATATACATAGACAGCATAACAGGACATTAGAAGGAAATGGGAAATATTACTGCACTTCCCATAGCCCTTTTAAGTTGTCTTCTTTAGAATGCAAAGCAGAGGTGGAGACAGCAGAATGAGATATGGGAGGGGTATGCAGATATTTTCCTTCTAATGACCCTTTAATGTGTACTTAGGTAGAAAACAAAGTTTAGTAAAACCTGCAGAGTCGGGTGGGGTAGAGTAGAATTTAAAAAACAGTCTAATGTCCCAGTATAGTTACGAAAAGTATTATCTAAATCTAATAAATTAACCTAGAATTATTATGAAAATCATGGATTTTTCTTGAAATATTGTGGACTAGATGAACCTGTTGGTCCAATCCAGCAGAGCTCTTCTTAAGTTACTATGTTCATGTATTTATGCCTTAAGGATGTTTGCATATTTTACATATGTTGTCCAAAGATTTATAGTTGTAAATTTTAAATGAAACATAAAAACTATCAATATTCCAAAACAAGGATTAAAATAGCATGGAGCATGTGACCATTACAAAAATGCTGAAACTGTTTTGTGGTGCAGTTACATTACAAAGCCTGCAAGCACAAAGTCTTTTGTAAATTACTTCACACAAAATAAAGAAAAAAGGCAACTGAGATATTAATATATTTTTATACACTTAACCATAATGATGTGAATCCAAATAGCCATGAGCTGAAGGAGAATGTGTTACTGATGTTCCATGAATGGTTATACAAACACTACTGATTTTGGCTATAGCATATAAATTGTAGTTGACTGTTTAAAAAAATGGTTTAAAAAGAGATTACATAAGAGTCCATGAGCAGAAGAGACTTTTGGAGACAAGCTACTTTTTTTTTATCACTGTAACATTTGAAATATATAGACCCATCCAATATACTTGGTTTAGCACAGAAATGAATTACCATTATCTAATAACTAACACTGGCTATTATTTCTGATTTACAGACTGATGACAGTAAAACATCAGTTAGAGATCGATTTAATGCTAGACAGTTTATGTCATGGTTGCAGGATGTGGATGATAAATTTGACAAACTAAAGGTATGTATCTTATTGGACCTTGCCAGAAAATCCTTTTCACTAGAAAAAAATACACCATCTAATGCTTGTTAGGTTCCATCCCACACTTTGGACCATTTCAACTGCAAACGTAAATATTTATTTATTCAAACTCTCAGAGAGGCTTGCTATTCAATAAAAAAAACAGAAGGTCCTTTCCCTCCAAAAGACATGGCACAGGGGAAAGAGGGAAGAAGAAGCGGGGCACTGGTTTTTAGGTTGCATAAAAACCAGCTGGGAAGGAAACTGTTGAAAAAAGAAGAGGCAGAAGGAGTTGGTGTCTCAGCAGAGACAAAAGTGGTTGTGCATCTCCTCTCCCTCCATTCTGCAGCCTGATCAAGATACTGTTGCCAGGTCACAGTTAAGGAAGAGCCATTGGCAACAGGTTCCTAGCATATATGAAACTTCAGCAGACTCATGAGGCTCCTGCATTCATGGGTTTTCAGAATTAATGCATTGTCATAGCTCTGTGTTAATTATGCCTGTCTGTGAAACTGCCTGTTTATATTATACTAAATGGGGAAATCAAGGGCAAAATCCAGTTTGTCATTCCAGTGTGTTGTACTAGCAGATACTAGGTTCCAAACTATTCACAGGAGAAGAACCCAGCCAAACTGAGATTTGTGCAGATCCAGGTGCATGTTATGCTTGCCCAGCAACACGACACAGTAGAGTTCCTCTAGCGTTGTTTGAATGCACAGAATGACACAGTTGGATACTGTTGCAGGGCTCGTTAACTGGACTTTTTGTACTTCATAGTGCCTTCATGAGACTGTTCTTGGTATATCTGTTCAAGTTCATAAACTATAAAAATGTACCATTTAATTGATTTCAGATTTAGTCCCTCTTGAGGTAGACTATTGAAATTAATGTGTCTGTTCTAAGCACACCCATTGAAACGAACCCATTGTGTTTAGTGAGACTTAAGCATGCGTAACTTCAATCTCGATGTTAAAATGGCCCTTACATTCTTAGCTTTCAAGAGATGTGAAATGGGATCCAAAGGGCCACATAGACCTTGGATGCATGCAGCAGAGACAAATTTGTGAGAAAGAGGTCCATTTATGGAATTAGCCTCAAAAGCTGAAAAGAACTTCTGAGCTGAGTGATTGAAAATACATCCTAAAGTAGGCCCCTCTCACCCCTTAGGTCATGCATGCCAAACACTGAAAATTGTTTCCAGTGTAATGAGAGTTGCTGCAGGCAGGGGGAATAAAGAGAAGACATATGTATGAACACAAAAGAACTTCCATTCACCATAATACTGTCATTGGCATTTGAGGTTGTAGTATATATACAATGAATTACAGATTTATAAAATGGTGCAAAATAAACACCTGCCTTTAAAGGTCCTGCTAAAACTGGAATGGTGAACATGCTGAGGACAGGAGATATTAACACCCAAGTGGTCCAAGGCTACTGCATTCTTTTTGGGAATATTAAATTGCTTCTGAAACATTTAATGAAATTTAAACATATCAGTACAGCTAAAAAAAAATAGCATTCATTACTTGTACTAATGTTTCCATTGCAAATTCAGATTATACAAGACTCTGCAGGATAGGTCATTACAGAATAGGTAGGATCACAAGGTTCGGACCAATGGGTTTGATAGACTTGGAAACTATGAAGTTGACACTATATAGCTGCCTATGCAGTGTTCACATTAGAAGTGTGTTGGGAATAATTGAATATTTATCTGTTTATTTTGAAATAGACATGTCTCTTGATGAGGCAGCAACACGAAGCAGCAGCTTTAAACGCTGTTCAGAGACTGGAATGGCAGCTTAAACTACAAGAACTTGATCCAGCAACTTATAAATCGATCAGCATTTATGAAATTCAGGAATTCTATGTTCCTCTTGTGGATGTTAATGATGACTTTGAATTGACACCTATATGACAGCTAGAATCTCTGCTGTCTTTTACAGCTAAGGTTATGGGACATAAATGAAATTGTTTAAAATATAGCACTAATGTGGAATATTGCCTTTTCCAGTATTCCATATATTCCTTCCGAAATGCTTCACAAGATCTTATTCAATATTGTAAATGCACATACCATTTATTACTAAATGGTATTTATTTTAGGTTTTAGATCAAAAGCATCTTCCAACAGATCTATTTATGTACAATAATCTTTCACTGAAGATTTAGCAGCGCTGGCAGCTGTTACAAGAAATCCACTGAAGTTCTTCCTATTTAAAGTTCACTTTAATGATTTTTATTATTAAACTTAAACTCCTATAAAAAAAATCAACAAACCTGTGGAAGAAATTATAAGCTTATAGGAACATGAGGAGTGAGAGTCTGTTCATCTTATATAATTTATAGGTTAACTGTACAGTTTTCTTTTTTGAAAAGATGTAATATTGTTTTCATTTTTAAAAATAACTTATTTTATACATATTGTGCAAATGTAAATATTCTTGTATTTAATGTTCAGCCCTGTATAAAAATAGATATTTTAATTGTAAAACTGTTTTGTCTAATGTTTTATTGGACCAAAGTTGTTGTTTCTTATGTGTGGTGTATAGACAATTTTCTTTTAAAAGGCATGTGTTTCATTTAGCTGCTTGTACATCACCATGACTGTTCAGATTTGACACTGAGCAGTATTGCATGCTAGCTCAGTTCAAGTTTTCCCTTAATGTGTGGTACCTAAACTATTGCGACTTGTGGTGCCATTCCACCATGCACTGCTTCAGTACAGCATCCATTCATTCAGAGAAATTTGCATGAGTGCCTCTTTCAGTGTAGTTTGCAGCAGTGCTTAATGGATTACACCTTGACTTCCCAGAGCCATTTGTCTATTGCTCTGCTGCTATAATGCCATGCCTATGACTTAACTATGCTGAGAGTATTTTGTTCAAAATCTTAAGGATGATCAAATTGCTCTCTAAACAAGCCTTTCAGTGTCTCCTCTCCTCCCTTCCAGATGTCCCTCAATGAAAAATTCTTAAATTGTACATTGTCTATTTTAATATTTCCCAGTTGAAACATATGTAAATAGTTGTACATACAATGTTTAATAAATTCTATTGGTCATGCTAACAGATGGTTGAATCCTTGTGATGGTGAAATTTTCATTCTTGAAGTTTTATACAATTTGACAAAAATAAAACTTGGAAAGTTCCATGATAACATTGTGCTTCTATATTCTAACCAGTCTTCCTGTTATTTGTGAGCAACTGATTAATGCAACGTTACTATAATACTAGCAAAAACAGCTGCCATTACGATGGGCAATATGTGGAGGTGGGAAATGTAGATACTGCATAGGCTCAGAAGAATTTGACTAAAGGAGAATGCTGAGAACCACTTGGGATGGACACAGGTTTTGCCGTGTCTGAAATATGTCCTAGACTGACATCCATTACAAAGAACCAGTGAGAACTGAGCTGATTGCTATTCTTAGAATTACAAAATAGTAGAGGTAGAAGGGGCCAGAAGGCCATCAGGTCCAACCCCCTGATCAGTGCAGGACACCAAGTTAATCCATCCCTCTCAGATGACTATCCAGTTGCATCATGAATGCCTCTAGTGTGGGAGAGCTCATAACCTCTCTTGGTAATTGCTTCCATTGTTGTACTGCTCTAACAGGAATTTTTTTCTGATATCTTGCCAGAATCTGACTTCCTGTAAATTGACTCCATTATTCTGTGTCCTATACACTGGGATGATTGAGAAGAGATCCTGTCCCACCCTTTGTGACAGCCTTTCAAGTACTTGTAGAGTGCTGTCGTATCTCTCCTCAGTCTTGAGGACCAAAGACTTCTTGAAACTAAACATGCCCAGTTCTTTCAGTCTTTCCTCATAGGGTTTGTTTCCAGGCCCTGGACCATCCTTGTTGCCCTCCTCTCAACCCTTTCCAGCTTGTCTGCCTCTTTCTTAAGGTGTCTAGAACTGGGCACTATACTCCATATGAGGCCTATCCAGTGCTGAGTAAAGGGGAACTCCCATTTCACTAGATGTGGAAGTGATATTTCTATTAATGCAACCTAAAATACCATTTGCCTTTTTTGCAGCCACATCACATTGTTGACTCATATTCTGCTTATGATCTACAACAATTCCAAGATCATCTCACTTGCAGTATTGTTGAGCCAAATATTTCCCATCTTATAATAATGCATTTGGTTCTTTTTCCAACATGCAAAACTTGGCATTTGTCCTTATTGAATTTCATTCTCTTGTTTTCAGTCCAGCACTCCAGCCTATCAAGATCACATTGAATCTTCATTCTGAGTTCCAAGATATTAGCTATTCCACCCAGTTTTCTGTCATCTGCAAATCTGATAATTGTTTCCTGCACTTCCTCATCCAAATCATTAATAAAAATGTTGAAGAGCACTGGGCCCAAGAGCACTGAACCCTGCAGCATCCCACTTATTACCTCTCTCCAGTTTGGGAGGGTACCATTGATGAGCACACTTTGAGTCCAATTCTGTAGCCAACTGTGGATCCACCTGATCATTGTTCCATCTAGCCCGCTGTGTTGATCAGATTATCATGGAGAAGTCTGTCTAAGGCTTGGCTAAGATCAAGATAGGTTATGTTCACAGAATTCCCACAGTTAGCAGAGAGGTTACCTAATTTTTTAAAAAAGAAATCAGATTAGTCTGGCAGGAATTGTTCTTGATAAATCCATGTTGGCTTGTAGTAATTACTACATTGTTTTCATGGTGTTTGCAGACCTTGCTGCTTTATAATTTGTTCCAGACTTTTTTCAGGGATTAATGCCAGACTGACTGTTCTGTAGTTCCCAGGTTCTTCTGTTTTTCCTTTCTTGAAGATAGGGACAACATTAACCCTTCTCCAGTCATTTGGCACTTACCCTGTCTAAAAGTTTCTAAGAGTTCTTTGACCTGATCCTTTATGACTCTAGGATGGAGGTCATCGGGCCCTGGAGATCTGAACTTGTTCAAGTGTGAACAAGTGTGAACAAAACTATCCTGTGGTATGGGTATTCTGTGTGTCTCACAGAGGAAGATGTATCTTTTAGATGATCCTTGACCATTTGCCTATCAGTCTCAAACAGCCATCCTGTTCTTTCAGCTTGTACTTTCCCTTCATCGAGGAGATCAGAGATTTTATTTTAGGAGAAGACTGAGCCAAAGTAGGAATTTAGCACTTCTGCCTTTTTTAATCATCTGTTACCATTTTGCCATCCACACTGAATAGCTGAAGCCACATTTCTTTCCTCGTCTTTTTGGCTTTTTTGTTGCTTTTAGAATCCCTCACTAGCCTCAGTTCATTCCTAGCTTTATACTTTCTGATGCCATCCTTACAATTCCCTGCTACCCACCTGTATTTTTCCTTTGTAGCCTGACCTCCTTCCACTTCCTATACCTGTCCTTTTTTTGCTTTCAGATCATCTCTAAGCTTTTTGTGAAGCCACATAGTCTTATTCTGTTGTCTTCTACCTTTTCTCTTTGCTGGAATTGTTTGTAGTTGTGCCTTTAGAATTTCCATTTTTAAAAATATTCATCCATCTTGGACTCCTTTTCTCATTTAGAGTCACTTGCCATGGGACTTGACTTATCATTGTTCAGCCCGCCATTTTCAAGTGTGAACAAAAGTATCTAGTGGCATGGGTATTCTGTGTTTCTCACAGAGTAAAATGTATCTTTTTGCTTGAACATCTCTAGGCATCCAATTTCCTTGAAAGGCCTTTCTATAATGTGTGTGTTACCTGTTCGTTTCCTTTAAATAATAGTTAAGGAAGAGATGCAGTTGTCCATCTCATGCTGCATGTCATTTCTCATGCCTTACCTGCTCTGACTGGCTTTCTACAAGCCTCTGCATCTCATGCTGTTGTACAACAGCAACTGGTTTGCATGGATTGAGAAGTGCACACACACACTTGCTAATTGAGATCCTCACGTTCAGAACATTCACAAATAGTTAACACACATGAATTCCTACTTTTCTTCTTCATGGTTTCTGTGCATTACACCTATGGGACTCTGCTTTTGTACAAAGGTCAAGAAATTCCCATAGCTGAGGAGTCCAGGTGAGAATACTTCCCCCACTCTGCTAGCATGCATGTCTTCAATGGGCTCCTCACCTATTCCCTTAGTTTTTCTTTGATTGCTACTGTGGCACCTATGAGTCTGAAGCTGCAGTGTTTAATAGATCTTATACTGAATCTTCTGAGAAAAAAATTAGGATGTTACATGAGTAGTGCTGGTTTCCATTGACCCCTTCACTTCTCACATAGAAAAATGGATGGATCCATCATCTGGAACTTGGAAGTGACAATGTGAATACTTTGCCCCACCACCCAGTCTAACCTCCTTCCTCCTATTCAAGAGATTTTAGACGCAGGTAGGAGGGCTTTTACACAGTCTTCCTTGAATAGGAAATAGAAAGTTTTTTCTGCTTCGGCCTAAAATATTATTTTATTCCAGTATACCAGCTGCTATTTCTGCCTTTCAGGTACTTCTGTTTTCTCCTGCTATCTTGTTCAATAGTTTCTCCAGAGCATTTGAAATAAAGAGTTGGCAGGCCTCTTAGTGGAACTGACCAGTAGTTGTCTATGTCCTGATGTCTCGATCCTTTAACAGTTGGTATTGGTTGATCTTAGCTTCCTGTCATGAGAGGTTAGTTTTTTGGTTACCAACTGAGTGAATTCATCATTACATCATTCTCATCCTGCTGCTCCAAATCTTATCCCCACAAAAACAGCCCTGTGAGGTAGGTGGTCTGAGAGTCTGTGACTGGCCCAAAGTCACCCAGTTGGCTCCATGGCTGAGCAGAGACTACAAACCAGATCATCCGAGTCTTGGTCCTGCACTCTTAACCACTACACCACACTGGTTCCTTTGGAACATTAACTTCTCACCGCTGCTATCAGATGGGCTCTCACTTTCTATAAGCTTGGATCAACTCTTTTTGAAACAGCCTTGCCACTTTCTTTGTTTACAGTGGCAAAAACATGGTTATGACTCTGCCCTATAAAATTACTGGCTTCCAGTTCACTGATGCCATCAGAACACACTCCAATTGTATTGTAGCCTCCACTGCCTTAGCACATAGGGTTCCCTTACCAGATCTTTTCCATGTGGCTGCATGGCCAATTCTTTCAACTCTGTGAAGCTCTAGTGTCTCGATCTCTGAGCTAGAGCTGACTGCTCACAGTCCTTTCTATGGTGATGACATCAATCTAGCTCCAGTAAGTCAGCTTGCTACTCACCCATATGCATGATACATAGGGACTATGAAGAAGAAACACAGGTTGCTGACTTGCAACTGTGGTCCTTCAAACGGTCATTTGTGCAGTCACATCGCCTGCCCACTGTCCCCTCTTCAGTGTCAATTCTAGTTCCGCTACCATGTCTACAGCATTTTCAGCATTGGTGAATATTTCCCCCACCCCAGCATCAATATTGCTGTATCATTCTCAGTTCTGGGTCCACAATGGATGGTCTCAAGGAACCAAGAGAATAGGCAGGGACCAATTCAGGATGTGTACACTAGGACAGCTGTGGGAGGGTTCCTATCTAAATTTTTCAGCTATGGAAGCTTCCTGAATTGAGGCACATGTGTGAACGCACAAGAAAACCACTTGAAGAACCATGTTTAAAGGTAAACAACCTATCTTTATTATGCCTACTCATTTTTGGGGGAAAAGATCTGTTAATCATTCTGCCTCTTGACGTAGTCACGCATATATCAGTTTTTAGCAATTTGCTTCTTAATGTCTTTATATGCTTGCTTTCATAATCATACATATGTTTCTGCTTCTTTTTATTTGCTTATTTACTTGATTTTCATTTGCTTTCTTCCATTGCTTCCTTGCAGCTTACATACACTCACAATCCAACTGTGTCAAAACTTCAATAGATGTCGAAATTCATGATATGTTCTGCAATAAATAAAACTGGATCCTGACATCACAGTGTCAAATCAAAGTTTGTATACAAGTTTGTATGCAGGAAAATGCAAATTTCTTACTTAGATAAAAACTATGTGCAAGACTGCTTATCAGAAATTAATAACATCACATCAGTATTTTCAAACAATTTTAAGAATCCACAAAGTGGAATTCTGGAATAAACTAAATTGCTTGAGTGACTTCTGACTCGAAGCCTCATCTTCTAGCACTATGTCTTGTTTTGTTTTGGATTTTTTCATTACAG